GGCGATGCGACAGGACTTGCCAACAGGTCGGACGAGGAACAGGTACCGATACCGCTACCATTCGCCCGTTTCCCCCTTCGTCGGCTTCCTCGGAGGGCCTCGTCGCCGCACCGCGAGATTCGCCTCGAAATTCCTTTCAGAACGCGCCCCGGAAGAGTTCTGGGGAGTCGCGGGATCGGGTGTTGCTTGGTGCCCCTATCCAAATAATATTCGAATGATTTTTTATGGTGCCCCAAAATATTCTTAGGTCACGTCTGGCTGAGACCCTGCTGTCTTTTAGTATATCGGTTCTATGGTCTAAGGGCATCCAATTGATCTGGGAGACTTCGGTGGTAGGCCTATAGGAATGCTTTGACGGTCCGTCCCTGCTCAACTCTCGTTCGGGGTTCCCTTCTGGTCCGCGTCCTCGACGATGAGGGGGAGGAGGAGATCCATCCTGTGTGGTCTTTCGTCCCCCGTGGAGGAGGGGGAGGAGGAGGAGGAGGAGGGGGTGGAGAACGAGGACGAGGACGAGGACGAGGACGAGGAGTAGGACGAGGATGATTTGTGACTGCCCAGTGCCCCAAAAACAAGCATCCAGAGTCCGCGAATGCCAAGAAGACTATACACGTACAGTGCCGTTTTTGATACATGCTCCGCGTCCTGATCATGTATTAAACATGCAGGGATTCAGTAGTAAAAACAACGATGAGTTCATGCATAATTTTATCCATACATTACTCATGTATTAAACACCCTATATTTGTTCAAACATCCGATGTATTCAAAACTGCCCTGTAGCCAGATGCCGCGCGATGCAGGACTAGTTCGAAGAAGAAAGCGCAACGCCATAGACAGAAAATGCTGGCGCTCCGCGCGGATCTCTCGGATCCCCGCTTCGGCGCCGCCCCCATGGCGCGCTCCCTGTCGCCCGGGAGGGGTGTATCCACGGGGATCCCCGAAATCCGCGCGGAGCGCCAGCAGTTTCTGTTTGCGGCGTCTGTGCTTCTCCTACAGATGCTCACCACCCACCAAACCACCCCAACCCAACCCGAAGGCTCAGATTTACCCTCGATTTCCAGTGGGGGGGGGGTCGGGAAACAACGAAACAAAAACACATGTGGAACCCTTACCCCCCCCAACCCGAAAGTCGGGTCTTCGGGTTGGGTTGGGGTGGTCTGGAAGGTAGTCAGATGCCGCGCGATGCATGATTAGTGCACGGGGCGGCAGTCATGTGGACCGCGTGCGACCGCCAAACTGCCTCGCGGGTTGCCTCAGTGTGCGGCGTATTGGATTGGGAAGAGCGTCTGGGCGGAGGACCCCAATGTTCAAGGCCAACCTCTCCGAACCTCGACTAGTCCCGCCCGCACCCTCGACGAGGATCGGCCCCGAGCCCAAGGGTGAATACAGAGGGGCGGGCCTCCTCAGAGGGCCAAGACGACATCTGGCCTCTTGAAAAGTACTCTAAGCTTTCGCCGAAGACACAAACGGTTTTTCAGCAGGCCAGAAGGCTTCTGAGAAGCCCCGCCGCCTTCTGAGAAGGCCTGCTTCCCCCCACTTCCCCCCAAGGCGCTCTGCCGAGAGGAGTGTTCGGGCGTTGTGTAGAGGGAGGGGGCAGTGATAAATGGGTTGGTGAGGGGGGACGAAGGGTGCACCCTTCCTTTCCCAAAGGAACCCTAGCATGGGCCCTCTGGGGCCCAAGAAGGGCACAAGGGGGCACATTTCTCCCCCTCCGTGCTGCCAGGTGCGCAGCGTACGGCTCCCACCAGGCGGCTCTGGTGTGCCCCGCCCTCGGAGAGCCCGCGATCGGCCGCGAGCGTCGTCGGCGTCTTCGTCGGTGCCGTCCTCGTCCTCGTCCTCGTCCTCGTCCTCGTTGTGGTCGTCGTCGTCGTCGTGGTCGTCGTCGGTCGGTCGGTCGGTCGGTTTGTCGGTGGTCGTGGTGGTCGTGGTGGTCGTGGTGGTCGGCATCGTGGTGGTGGTGGCCGTCGTCGCCGTGGTGGTCGTCGTGGAGGTGATCATCGTGATCGTCGCCGTCGTCGTCCCGGAGGTGGCCGTCGTGATCGTGGTAGTGATGGTCGTCGCCGTCGTCGTCCTGTTCGTCTTCATCTTGGTCGTCGTCGTGGCTCGACGATTCGATGACGGAGGCTCGAGAACCGAGGCCTCGAAGCGCGCCTGCGCCTCCGTCGGGGGAACGCAGGATTCGAGGTCGCCAGGACTTTGGTTTTGCCGACGCCTTCGGGGCCCACGTAAAGGGAGCCAGCGCTAACCGGGGTCAGCCAATCCCCTCTGGCTGACCCTTGGATTGGGAACCACGTGTTACCAGTTTGAGACATATCCCTATCCCTGTGTTTGGCATCACATCACCTCGATGCCGATCGTGGGGCTTCCTTCAGTTTTTTGCCCTCGCTTTTGCCCGCCCATCGTAGGGTCACATCCCTGAGATTGCCATCGTTTTTTGCTCGCCCATCGTACGGTCGGGGGTGGACAGAACCCCCAACAGTGACACGTCGATTAGTGAATTGCCCGTTTTCGGTTTTCGAGAGGGCGCCGTGGCCGTTAGTTTCCAGGCTTGCGCCCGCCAGGTTTGGGCCCGAAGTCGTTTTCACTAGACCACGTTTCACTAAAGGGAGGTTCGTCCATCCCCGATAGGGATAGGGATCAGCTCGAGGCTGGTGAACGTGGGGCCAAAGTCCCCCTCTCCGCCCTCCAAGCGGACTCGGGCTCGGGAGCTGCTGCGCGGCCAAAAAGTCGGGCTCTGCGCGGCAGGGCCCTGTAGCCGACCCAGGCTTGTGCCGACCTGGATTATAGTGCCTCCTCCTCCTCCTCCTCCTCCCCCTCCTCCTCCTTCTCCTCCTCCCCCACCTCCTCCTTCTCCTCTTCCTCTTCCTCCTTCTCCTCCCCCTCCTCCTCCTCCTCCTCTCCCTTCTCCTCCTCCTCCTCCTCCCCCTCCTCCTCGTCCTCCTCCTCCTCCTCCTCGTGCCCGACGCTTTTCGATGGGCCCGTCCTGAGCTTTGACGGTCCATCAGAGGAGGACAAGGTACCCATACTTCTACCCTTAGTGGGCCCTGGAAGCAACAGGTTCGTTTTTTTACCGGTTCCGTTCTGCCGTTTTTTCGCCAGTTCCGACGCCGTTTTTTTATTGGTTCCGCCGCCGTTTTTTGACCGGTTCCGGCTCCGGCTCCAATCTTGGAGCCGTTTTTTTGCCGTTTGCGGTCGCCGTTTTTTGTCCGTTTCCATTTTCAAGGGGCATTTTTTTGGAAACGGTGAAACAACGGCCCTGCCGTTTCCGGGGCCCACAAAGACCCGTACTTCTACCATTCGCTCGTCTTCCCCTTTCTGGGCCTCCTGGGCGGCCCTCGTCACCACCGCTGGATTCGCCTCGAAGTCCGCGAGAGGTCTGGGGAGCAGCGGTATCGGGGTACCCGTGGGTTTTTCCCCGGTCCAGGGCCCGTGGGATGTCTGCAGCGGGAGTTCGCGTCAAATCTCAGATTTTCTAGGTCCAGACATGGTCTCTCGGCGGCGCCGTCGGGCCAGCGTTCGGGTCCCCCGATCCCCAGACTGGCGTCTCCTGGGCTACGCAGGAGAGGCCCCTCCTTTTCGGAGGGAGGAGAAGCGATACCAACACCACCAGGGGGCCCACCTCCAGCGAGGAGGTCCACGATGCCTCCCCGAGCTGGACGCTCGGGATGGCTCGAGCGAGAGGGGGGGACCACGCCACCAGGGATACCCCCTTGCCTCCTCGCACCTCCTCGCCCTGGTGGTGTTGGTGTCGCAGTTCCTTGTTCCTACCCTTGGCCGCGGTCGGATCCACCCCGTGAAGGTCTGGTCCGGAAGCATCGCAGGGAGCGGTGCAGGGCTCGGCTTGTGGCCCCAGAGCCCAGAACCGGCCGTCTCGAGCAAAACTTCGGAGGAGAAGGAGGAGGAGGAGGAGGAGGACGAACATCGGAGGTTGATAGACCTCCTACCCTGACACGTCGAGTAAGGAATTGGCCGTTCTCGGTTCGCGAGAGGGCAGGAGGAGAAGGAGGAGGAAGAGGCGAAGGAAGAGGAAGAAGAGGAGGAGAAGAGAGAGGAGGAGGAGGAGGAAGAGGAGGAGAAGGAGGAGGGGGAGGAGGAGGAGGAGGAGGAGGAAGAAGACGAAATGGAGGACGAAAAGGAGGAGGAGCAGGCGGGGAGTTCTTTAGCCGTTGCGGCCTCTTGGAACCATATCGGGATTTGGGGGTTATCGGCAGAAACGGAAGCCGGTCATGAAGAACGCAGAGCTGGACCCAATCGTTGTTTTGTTGGATTTCGGCCTCTTTGTTTTTTCCTTTTTGGGAGGGAGGTACAGAAAAACAGGTAGAGAAAAACGAATAACATAACGAACCCAACACGAAGAACAACGTTTAGATCCAGCCTTAGGAGAACAACGTTTAGGTCCAGACTTCGGTGCTCCTCCGAAAAGTCCGGACACTGGCTGCCTAGGCCGGCGTCAGCGTCGCCGCCGTCGGCTTCGTCGTCGTCGTCGGCGCCCGGCGCCGACGTTTTTCTCGCCACCTCCGTTGCCACCTCCGTCATTTTGTTCTTCCTCGATCGATCGATCGAATTAGAGAGAGAGAGAGAGAGAACGAGAGAGAGAGAGAGAGAAAGAGAGAGAGAGAGAAAGGAGAGAGAGAGAGAACGAGAGAGACAGAGAGAAAGAGAGAGAGAGAACGAGAGAGAAAGAGAGAGAGAGAGAGCGCGAGAGAGAGACACACACACACACACACATACACACACAGACACACACACAGAGACACACACACACACACACACATCCGACGATGCGCTCCTCCCCCCTGCGCGGCCCCACAGCGACGACCCTTTCTGCCCCCCGGGATATCGCCCGCGCCCCCGGGCGCGTGGTCGCGACGCCGTGCCTCCGCGGTGTCCGACGGCGGGGGCTCCGGGGGGTCGAGAGCTCCGAGGGAGATCTCCGGGGCTGACCGGATCACGCCGGCGTGCTGCCCGAGGCATGGGGAGGGGGGAGGGGTGTCTCCGAAGGGCGTAGGCGGCCCGTCCTCCTCATCCTCCTCCTCCCTCCTCCTCCCTGCTCCTCCTCCTCGTCCTCCTCCCTCCTCCTCCTCCTCCTCCTCCTCCTCCTCCTCCTCCTTCTCCCCTCCTCCTCCTCCTCCTCCTCCTCCTCCTCCTCCTCCTCCTCCTCCTCCTCCTCTCCTCATCTGCTTGTAGTTTGTTCGCGAAGCCTGCAACATCCCCGTACTTTGCAATACGGCACTCTTTAGCGCTTTCGTGGGACTCGGATTGTCTACCCCCCGATCGTGCTAATTTTATTTCACGTGCCTGGATGTGCGTTAGGCTTCTCGACCCTAGCGATATCCATGGTGTCCCCTGATTTGGATATCCAGTCCTTGGGGGGAGTGCCGCGTGACTTTTTACGACTGGGGTCGATACCCCTATGCGCACAGCGGTCATTGCATTATGTTCTATTAGATGCAGACGAGACCAGATGTTGAGTACCACCACCACCACCACCTCCTCCTCCCTTCTCCTCTTCCTCATCCTCATCCTCCTCCTCCTCTTCCCTGTTCCTTCTCCTCCTCCTCCTCCTCCTCCTCCTCCTCCTCCTCCTCCTCCTCCTCCTCCTCCTCCTCCTCCTCCTCCTCCTCCCTTCTTCTCTTTCACCTTCTCCTCCAGCTCCTCCTCCCCGTCCCCCTCCTCCACCTCCTTCTCCTTCTCCTTCTCCTCATCCTCCTCCTCGGGTCGCCTACGGACCCGGGGGGAACAGTGCAAGAGGGAGAGAGAGAGAGAGAGAGAGAGAGAGACAAAGAGAGAGAGAGAGAGAGAGAGAGAGAGAGAGAGAGAGAGAGAGACAACGACAGGGCCGGAGTCGGGCTTCTGGCCTGCTGTTTTATGTCGGGAATCCCTTTCTGCAGGAGGAGTCGTCAAACAGAGCGTGAAGCAAAATAGTCTGGAGGCGAGGTTGGCGATCATGTTCTGACTAGTTTCGAGCTGCTTTGGCCATGTTGCATCTCTCCCTCAGAATCCGCCCGTAGGGGGGCAGGCCCGACCGAAGCCTGCTGGGGGCGGGGGGCCCTCGCCGCCACGGGCGGTGCCGCCCAGGGGGGAGCCCTGGCCAGGGAGCGCGCGCGCCCGAGGAGGGATCGGGGGGCCCGGCGCCGAGGGAGGTGGTGCGAAGGGGAGGGCGGTCACGCGCAGAGGGGCTAGGGGGGGCGGGGTCCAGACCGACAAAAGCAGTAAGCAGGAGACCAGACAACTACGGAAACAAATCGGAGACGACACGAAAGCACGGCAGGCCGTTAGAACCACAGTGCAGCGACGCATGGAACAACAGAGAGTCGGGGCCCTGGGCCATCGGGCACGGATCTGGGCGAAAGCCTGCCCCCAGGGGCGGTGCCCCGACCGAAAGAACAACGCAGCAAACGGAGAAAAACAAAGACAATTACAGAAACAGCGGGAGACAACCAAAAGCACGACAAGCCGTTAAAACAACAACGCATGGAGCAGCAGAAGAAGTCGGGGTGTCTGGGTATGCCGACCCTGGCCAGGCCCAGAGCGGTGCCAGGATCGGCAAGCACACGGTGTTGGCCTCCCTGGCCAGGGCAAACGAGGGCGTGTGAGCCAATCTTGGGCCTCTACAGGGGAATATTCAAAAAATAGTGACCAACAAATCTGGGGACTATTCTTGAATATTTGGGGTGTATTGTTTGAGTATTTTGCATTTGTCGCCCAAAATCCCCCTGTGGGGAGACACGCCCGACTTAATCCTGGGCGCAGGATGTCAGTCACGCGCACGAGGGGGTAGGGGGAGGGCTTCTCAGAAGGCGCTGGCCTTATCCATAGATGCAGGGCCGGCGCCTGCTAGGAAGCAGCCTCCTTCCAAGAAGCCCTCTCCCCTCCCTCCAACCCCCTGTGCGCGCCGCCCAGGAGGGGTGGGAAGGAGGGGGAGAGGACTCGAAGAAGGAGAAGCGACGCAATAACCATAATCGTTTGGCGCGCCTCGCGGGTTGCTTGGATCCGCGCTGGCCCCACCCGGCGGCGCCTCTGGCGCCACCACTGGCGCGCTCCGCGCGCCAGGGAGGGGGGGGGTCCAGCGCAGATCCAAGACATCCGCGCGGAGCACCACAAGTATATGTTTATGTCGTTGTTTGTTCTTACTCTATGGACGGCAGCCGATCGGAAGATGGAAGCAAGGGGATGGAGGACGGGCGGAAACATATAGCCAATTGGAGGAAGGATCGGGACGATCGGCATGGGTACCGACTGAATGGGTACGATGTCCAACAGCAGTTCCTGTTCATTTTGAACAGAACTCGCTGTCCGCGCCGCCCAACAGCGGCCGCTGTCGGTTTGGGACAACATTTGTTGTTGGGCATTGTGCTCATTTTTGTCCGTACCCATTTCGGGCGTCCAGACAGGAGGCGAGGGGATTGAGGAGGAGCGGAGACAGAGAGGGGGAGGCCTCATCGGATCACGGAGAGGAGGGAGGAGAATGAGGAATGGGGGAGGGGGAGGAAGGGCGGGAGGAGGAAGGGTTTTGCTGGATGGAGGGGGGAGAGCTTACGATATGGACGAGGAGGAGGAGGAAAGAAAAGGAAAGCAAAGGAAAGGAACGGAAGGAAGAAGGGGAGGAGTAAAGGATGAGGGCGAGGAGAGTGTGTGAGAGTCTTGGGCGGCACCGTGCGATCGAGGTTCCAGGGGGGCTCGGGGTTGGTTTCTGCGTGCGTTCCGGAAAACGTGCATGTTGCAGTCGTGGTCTGGTAGGTGTTTCCTTCGTTGCACCATCTTCAGTCTGCTTCTGACAACCCTTCGGCTCAGGTCATTCCAAAATTGGTCGGAGCAGTTGGGGCCCTCAGGTCGAGCCACATCGGCGCTGTGGCGGTATCTCTCGATGCCGCCAATGTATCGTCAATGTATCGGCGATGCGTCTCGATCTTCTGATCCTGTGAACGTAGGGCTGGCCTGACGATCCAGATCAGCCCAGGTCTTGGAGGGCTACCCTTACGTTCTTGATGCTTGCATTCTTAGCACCTTGGACTGTTCTTGGTTGTAGATGTCTCCATGGGGCCTTTAAGCCTTCGGGGGGCTCATGCTATTGACTCGCGCTCTTGCGGCCACGTTTCGGTTGCTTCCAGATAGGAGGTTCGCGCCGATTTGCCAGGTCGGCGTCGGACATCTTGGCAGCGCCTCTAGCGTCGCCCCTGGCGCGGTCCGCACGCCAGGGAGGGGGGCTGCATCGCCAATCCAAGAAATCCAAGAGGACTTCCGACCCCTACGATATGTGTTCCTCCATCTAACTCCAGCCCTCTTCGAGTGGCCTCTGTCATCTCTCCTCCTCCAACCCTCCGCTTCGTTGGTCTTGGATCTTGGTCACCTGGAGGACTCCAACTTATTATCGCACCTGTCTCCATGCCATTGTCGGGCCCCAGGAACGTCAAGCACAGATCAGGGACGAAGACCTACTTCTAGGCAGAGATCTGGAATCTCGGGGCCACGAATTGAAGAACACATCGTCGAATGCCTGGGTGTAGGATTAGCTTAGAGGACCAGCGCTGGAAGACGAGGGTTAGAGGACGATGACAAAGGTTACACCAGCCCAATGGAAATGCCCTGAATGTTCATCACGGCGATCGCCCGCAGAAGTCGGCGGAAGCAAAACGAGGCCGAATACAGCAGCTTTTTTTGCGGGGGTTGGGCCGCATCTGGCTTGGTTTCGTGTAGTTGTTTCGCATAATCCCGTCTCGTTCGCATATCCCGCCAGCTTGGGATCGTTGGTATCAGTTGGAGACCACGTTGATATCATGTCCAAGTCATTCTTGGATCACGTGGACGTCGTCGGGTCACTCTGGAGCCGTGTTGGGCGTGCCTGGATCCATTTTGTGGTCATCGTGCCATCTCAGGGTCACTCGTTGCTCGCAGGCTGGGCCATCTTAGAGTCGGTCTGGGACGATCCAAACACCATGTCGGGATCATGCTGGGGCGGCGTCATCCCAGGGTCGCTTGGAGGTCATCGCCTGTGGTCTGAGGCATTACTGGAACCACTTTGTGGTCACGGGGTCATCTTGGGATGTTCTCCAAGTGAGCGCTGAGCAAGCGTGCACATTGCATATGGCCGTCGGCACACTTGCACATACTTCCTCTTGCGAGCCTCCAGGGCTTCTGGCGCAATCAAGCAGTGGACGAGGGTCACGGAGGACGAGGAGAGGTGTGGTAGTGAGAAGAGGTTCGCAGGCAGGCAGCAAGGGTGTCCGTGACCCTGTTGGGTCGGATCCGTCGCGGTCGATCCCATTTTGTCGGTGCGTCGCAGCCTCCTTCCTAGCTGGTTTCGGTATGCTTGTTTCGGTTCAGTTTCGGCTTCGCTGCCGGTTCGATAGTTGTTTTTTTGTTTCTTGCTGTGGCCGTGGATGCCCATGGGAAGGGCGGGCGGGAGGATTGGAGTGATGGTGGGAGGCGGAAATGAGGAAGAGGACGTGGAGTGGGAGGGAAGCCGAAGAGTAAGGCGAGGAGGGCAAGGCAAAATGAGGCAGAAGGAAGGGGATGGAAGGAGGGGGATTTGCAGTCACGCTGGCAGGTATTTAGGGTGGTTGGGAGGACTCCTTCTTCCTCCTCCGTCCACGCGGGCGTTGTTGTTCTTGACGTTCCCTCTTGCCGAGTCGATCTGAGATTCCTTCATTAGCTCCTCCGATGTCTTGGGTGAGGAGGAGGAGGATAGCAGGATCAGGAGGTTGGTAGCGGGATCAGAACGAGGACCAGATTGCGGAGGAGAAATGACGCAAATTGCCGAGGCATCGGCATCGTCATGCTCGGCGGCAGCATCATCCTCTCCGCGATGGCGCGCCCCCTCCTGCCGGTTTTGTTCCGCGCGCCATGTCCAGCCGGCGTTCGGGGGGTGCCCGACCTGTCCCGAACGGTCGCCGGAGACCCGAGTTGCGCACCCGAAAGCCACAGGATGCAACGCATTAAAAGATTCTGCACGGACGTTTTCCGCTGTGTTCGGCCTCCGGGTGCTCTCACTGGTCCGCAGGACCGCGAACAAAAACAGTTCAGGATGAGAAGCTTGTCCTCGGGACGGCGTCCAGTCCATCGGGGGCCACGCTGTGGAAAGCTCTCGACTTAAGTCAGGCACGTCCCTCTACATGAACAATATATTAAGATAGTCGAAAAGAAAGTCTGGCAGCGAATTTCAAGGGCATCTCAAACATATCCAAAACACGGTCTGGAAATTGCCTCCTTGGCGGCCGATGTCGAAGGTCTCGACATCGGACGCCTGGGCCGCGCAGCCTGCTGGGGCCCTTGCGTGGGTAACTCCTGCCCTTGACAGGTGCCACGTGACAGGTGGTCAGATGAGCCTTCAAGCTCTGGTGACGTTGCGCTCAGGCCGCCTTCGGCCCCGGCGTTAGGTCAGGGGTGTCTGCAGTTCGGCCCGTTCGGTTGCTTCGCAGTCGGCTGCGTCAAGTCGGTCCGATTCCGGCGGTTGGGGCGCCGCCTGCGCCCTTTCCGTGGTGCATTCGGCCTTTCGGCTCGGCCGGTCTCTGTTTCGCCCCTGGTTCGGCCTCTTTTCGCCCCTGCTGCCGCCAAGGGCGTCTGTGCAGGCGGGTTTGTGTGCGACCCCAGGTCGCATCAGACCGGGCCAGAGGTCTGACGATCCGATGTGGCCCGTTGTTTGCGTGGCGATGTTGTGCGTCTTGGTGCTGCCGGTCCGATTCGGCTTCGATTCCATACCGCTGCAAACCGATCCGACGTACATGTCGATTCCGGGCTCGATGCTGATTGATCTCGTGCAGGCAGGAGCGCCACTGGGAGCCCCAGCGACAGGTAGGCTCCTGAAGGTCCGTGGCTGACTGGCTCAGGATGTGCCCCCGAAGTTCTGGAGCACCTGGCAGCCCTCGTCCAGGAGTCCGCGCGCAACACGAGGAAGATGTTGACACCTCTCCGTGGCGACGTCCGAACCCTCTCCCCACCAACCAATTGGTTCTCGAGACTCGATGGGAGGCGGGGGTGGGGCCCAGATTTCGCCGCGTCCTCGAAGCACTCCGAACCCCACCCCCCGCCGCCCATCGAGTTGCTGGCATCGTGGACCGGCGAGGGTAGAGTTCGGATCTTGCCGTTGAATCGTGGAGCTCATCATTCTCACGACCTCGTACAGTGGGGGCCCATGCCAAGAGACATCCTGCTTGCCTCCAGGATGCCCTGGGTTCCGACGGTTTGTCATGGAAAGCGAAACGCTTCCACACCAAGAATCGATGGACATCCTGGGGCGTCAGGGTTGGGCTTTTTGTGGAAGATTTCTGGTTGACTGACCTCCACTGTGTGAGCGGCTCCGCCGCCCTGTCGCGGTAAGAACGTGCCGCGCGAAGTTGGGGCACCAGTGTACGTGATGCAGACTGCCCAGGTGTCGGCCTTCGGAAGCAGGTTGTCCGACCTTCGAGGCTTTTCCGGGTGTCGTCGTAGGCTTCTGGAAGTTGTGTCAGCTCGCAGCGGCACTCCTCTGCGAGGAGGCCCCCCCGGAAGCCCCACGAGCAGCCCAAAGGACACCCGCAAACCCTTCGCTCCTCGAGCCTCCTCCTCCTCCTCCTCCTCCGCCTCCTCCTCCTCCTCCTCCTCCTCGTCCCTCCTGCCCCTCGGGCTGGACTTGGGGAACCGGCATGCCTCCGGCCAGGCTGCGGGCAGGAAGGAGGAGGAGGAGATGGAACGGAGGAGGAAGATCGAGGATGAGGATCGAGAAGGGAGGAGGAGGAGGAGGAGGAGGAGGATGAGGCGGAGGAGGAGGATGAGGAGGAGGAAGATCGAGGAGGAGGATCGAGGAAGGAGGAGGAGGAGGAGGAGGAGGAGGAGGACGATCGAGGAGGAGGACGATGGTAGGAGAGGGAGGAGGAGGCGAGAGGAGGAGGAGGAGGAGGTGGAGGAGGAGAAGGAGGAGGAGGAGGCGGAGGAGGAGGCGGAGGAGGAGGAGGAGGAGGAGAGGAGGGGGCGGATTGACGCTTCGAGCTTTGCTCTCGCGGTCTTAGTCTAAAACATAAGGGTGGCAGGCGGAAGGATGGGGCAGGCCAGAGTAGGAGAGGGAAAGAGGAGGAGGAGGAGGCAGGTGGAGCCTGGAGGTGGACGCGTACATACGATGCCGTTTTTGTTTGTTCGATGCGACGCCCCGTCTCCCAGGGCTTGTGTTTCATCCTGGGCCGTCTGCTGACTTGCCGATGGCTTCCGGGAGCCCGAAGCCAGTGCCTAGCCGTCCTGCGCTTTCTCAAGACGCCCGCCGATGCTTGGGGAGGGGGAGGCGGACGCATGGAGGACGCAGGAAGCACGAGGACGTGGAGGAGGGAGGCAGGAGGAGGGGAGGCATAGCAGAGCCCAGACCCCCGGCGTCATGACTTTTTCATTACGTCGACCCCCAAGGCTTTCTACCCATTCCCCAGGATCGTCTTTTCATCCTGAGTCGTTGTTTAGTCACCAAAGTTAACAGTATCCCTACCACCAGCAAGGGGGGTGCCTGTCCCACCCTCTCGAGCTGGTGGCACCTCGTTCCGGGCTTGCCTCCAGAGAGTTCCCGGAAGGAGGTGCCACCACCTCGAGGGGAGGGAGCGGCCACCCCCAGAGTTGGTGGTACAGGCGGCCCGTATCAGTAGGTCGACCCTGACAGATCAAGGGTGCCCTCGTGTCCTGTGTCTTGCGACCCATGTCTTCTGCATCTCTGTGGCAACGTGGCGTGGCCCTCGGGAGGGTCTTGTGTCCTCAAGCGTGTCCTCTCCAATGCAGTCCGACTGTAGAGAAGCAGAGTGTGAGAAGTGAGACGCGGTTCCGACGCGTGGGCAGGTCGCTGGAGTGTGGACGCCCGCCCGAGGTGCTGCAGAGGGGAAGCTCGGGCGACGAGGCGCGGTGGAAACCACTCACCACGTGAGCAAGGCAATCTGTTGAAAAATCTCCTGAGCGAGGGCCCCCGCATGCCGAAGATATAGCGAAAACCCTCCGCCGTGTTTTTTTGTTGTCTGGCTGGAACCCCGGGCACCCGATGCCCTGCTGCCACTCTCCCGTCGGCGACCTGGATCCGTCACGCGATGCGAATCGGAGGAGGAGGAGGAGGAGGAGGAGGAGGAGGAGGGGGAGGAGGGGGAGGAGGAGGGGGAGGCGGAGGGAGCAACAGGAGGAGGCGGAGGAGCAATAGGAGAAGGAGGAGGAGGAGGAGGAGGAGGAGGAGGAGGAGGATGGAGGAGGAGAGGAGGAGGAGGAGGGGAGGAGGAGGAGGAGGAGGAGGAGGAGGAGGAGAGGAGGAGGAGCAGGAGAGAGGAGGAGGAGGAGGAGGAGGAAGGAGGAGGAGGAGGGAGGAGGAGGTGGGGAATAGGAGGAGGAGGAGGAGGAGGAGGAGGAGGAGGAGGAGGAGGAGGAGGAGGAGGAGGAGGATATACAGTGGGGGCGCGCATCAAGAAACCATCTGCTCTTCGTCGGGGTATCCCGGGTTTCTTCGCTCCTCGCGCTGCGCGGTGATTTCCCGCACCCGTGGAAGAAACTGCTGCGTTCAGGGTGCTCCAGGTTTCCCCTTTTCAGGTGCACCTCGCGCGCGGGTTCTCAGGGTTAGGTTTGTTGCGAGGGTTTCTTGCGGTCGCGCCCGCACTCCGCATAGGAGGAAGAGGAGGGGGATTCGGTAGGGAGGGGGGAACTTCGCATCACGTGACGGAGTCCCTCTGCCTCTCCCTGTACCCACCCCCCTGGACCTCCGAACCCCCTGTCCGACGGTTGGGCTGTTCGTTCCGCCTCGGGAGCCTTGAGGCTGGGGCCCGTGCCAACGGGGGTCCGCAATTATTTGGAGGAGGAGCAATGACCTGTACCGCTACCCTCGCTTGCCCCTTTTTCGGGGCTGCCTCCTGGGAGGACCTCGTCGCCACCGCTGGATTCGCCTCGCAATCCTGGCCTGAGCACCCCAGCGCCCCCGCGGGAGAGCTTCGGGGCACCTCTTGATTTCCCCCAGCTGTAGCGCCGGATCCTGCTGAGCCTGCGGAGTCATGATGTGTGTGGACCCGGGCTGGCGCGCAGGATACTGCAGGGATCCAGCAGGAATTTCCTGCATAATCCTGCAGTAAGCCCGGCGAACCCGAGTTTTTGGTAAGTCGGTCGCGTCCCCCTACAGGAGGGATCTTCAAAAATAGTCTTGAGTATTATTGAGCATCTGTTTGGATTTTTTGATTTTTATTTTCCTTCCAGAATCCCGGACAAGCCCGACCTAGCAATAAGCCCGACGGGCCCAGGCTTTTGCAGATTGGCCCAGGTCAGTGCATGACCCCGACCCGCGTCGCTCCTGTGAGGCAGCCCGCGGAGCCCAAAGGCGGCCTGGAATCCTGCGACTGCTCCTCCTCCTCCTCTTCCTCCTCTTCCTCCTCCTCCCCCTCTTCCTCCTCCTCCTCCGCCTCCGCCTCCTCCTCCTCCTCTTCCTCCTCCTCCTCCTCTTCCCCATCCCCCCCCCCTCCCCATCCTCCCCCTCCTCCTCCAACTCCTCCTCCTCCTCCTCCGTCTCCTCCTCCTCTCCTTTTCCTTATAAGCTGCCTGCCGCACCCCGAGGTCAGTTTTTAGGGCGGGCCGGGCGTTTCGCTTGAGACTTTTTTACAATTTTGTGTCTGTTGAGAAATTGGCAACAGCTTCACAGATGGAGGGCGGATGTTTTCTTTAGGGCTCCCGCCTTAGCGCGGCGCACATACGCTTTGACAAATTGTAAGAGTTTCACGAATTGAGGGCGGATGGTTTTCAACATGTGGTTCTCGCCTCAGCGCTGGGCACATTCGTTTAGCAAAAACCTGCAAGAGCTTCACGGATTGAGGACGTGTGTGTGTTTTTTTATGTGGCTCTCGGCTTAGCGCGGCTCACATTCTGTTGAACATTGGCAAGAGTTTCGCGGATTGAGCGCGGGCCGTTTTCAATCTGTGTTTTTGGTTGTAGCGCAGCGCACATTTGTTTTCAAAAAGATGCAAGAGTTTCGAATGGTCAGGGCGTGTGGTTTTCAAACTGTGGCTCTCGCCGCAGCGCGGCGCACATTCCTTTTGAACCAGTGTAAGAGTTTCACGGGTTCCCATCACCACCGTACCAGAAATTGTGTTTCGTAAGGATTCAGGATTATGCGGGTGCAACAGTTATGTTGACTATTTGTGTTGAAGTCCTTGGAATGGCGTTCTTGCGCGATTCCGGATAGTCAGAATGTAGCAGTTAGGTGGATCCGTGGCGTTGAAATCCTGGTAATCATGTTTTGGCATGCTTCTGGGTCTTCAAAGGGTTGTTCTCCAACGAGGCAGTTCCTTCCATGGAAATGAACCGCTGTAGGAGCCTATGGAGAAGGAGCTTGGAGGGAGGGTTTACTCCAACATCGTTGATGACTCTTGGGTTTACACTGGTCCTCCTCCTCCTCCTCGTCCTCCTCCCCCTCCTCCTCGTCCTCCTCCATTTCCTCCTCCTCCTCCTCCTCCTCCTCCTCCTCTTCCTCCTCCTCCTCCTCCTCCTCCTCGAGTCGGCTACGCCTTGTAGTGGCACTTCACAGGAGAAACCTTTGTCGCAGGCGAGGTTACTCCCCCACTCCTCCCAGGCTCCGCCCGAGGAGTTTGGCCGCTCAGGAAAAGAGGGGTGGACGCTGGGCTACGCCCGCCGGGGGGGGGCTAGATGCGGACGCAGCCCTGACGAGGATGGACGCCCCCCGTCGCATCGCAGCGTTTGGTCCAGTCGAGCCCCCGCCAAAGAAAGCCTCCAGCGAGGAGGAGGAGGAGGAGGAGGAGGAGGAGGAGGAGGAGGAGGAGGAGGAGGAGGAGGAAGGAGAAGGACGAAGGAGGGGAGGAGGAGGAGGAGGAGGAGGCGGAGGAGGAGGAGGAGGAGGAGGAGGAGGAAGGGGAGAAGGAGTCGGGCATTCGGGGTCGCCACGCCCTCCGTGGCTCTGGTGCGGGCCCGCACGGGGTCCCCCCTCGCCCGTGGCCTGCGCGCCCGGATGTGGCCCACCAGGGAGGGACCCCCCTCGGGCCGCGCACCGAGGGCCATCTCCTGCCAGGAGCGCGGCCCGCCGGGTCCTCCTCCTCCTCCCTCCTCCTCCTCCTCCTTCTCCTCCTCCTCCTCCTCATCCTCTTCTTCCATCCTCCTCCTCCTCCCCTCTCCTCCTCCTCCTCCTCCTCCTCCTCCTCCTCCTCCTCCTCCGCCCTCCTCCTCCTCCTCCTCCTCCTCCTCCGCCTCCTCCTCCTCCTCCTCCTCCTCCTCCCTCCTCCTCCCTCCCGTGGGTGGGTCGCAGATGGGGTGGTGCCGTAGGCGTGTCGCAGGTGGTCGTGCACTCAGTGGGCCCTGGAATCGACAGGGCCGTTTTTTTACCGGTTCAGTTCTGCCGTTTTTTGTTGCCGGTTCCGACGCCGTTTTTTTACCGGTTCCGTGGCCGTTTTTTGACCGGTTCCGGCTTTGGTTCCAATCCTGGAGCCGTTTTTTTTGCCGTTTCCGGTTGCCGTTTTTTTTTGCCGTTTCCATTTTCAAGGGACATTTTCTGGAAACGGTGAAAAAAACGGCCCTGCCGTTTCCGGGGCCCACAAAGGTCGTGCAGCGAGCGGCTTGAACAAGGAACATTTCCTTTTTAAGAGGGGCCCGGTCGTTCCTCAGGTTTGCATGCGTCATTTCCGTTGGTCAGGCTCGCATGCGTCATGTATCGTTCCTTGTGCGTTGCGTTCCTTGTGTATCGTTCTTTGGGTCAGGCCGATGACTGTAGCTGGGCAGGGGCCCAAATCCTCAGCCTCGGGGGTCGCAGGCGGGGTGGCGTCGTCCGTTTCCAGGTCCATCCTCCGTGTGGCCTCGATCGAGGTCGTCATTCTCTCCGGGCGCGCGAGATCTCGGCCATCCCCCTGCGGCATCCCAAGGATCCTCCTCCCCCTCCTCCTCCTCCTCCTCCTCCTCCTCCTCCTCCTCCTCCTCCTCCTCCTCCTCCTCCTCCGCCCCCTCCTCCTCCTCCTCCTCCTCCTCCTCCTCCTCTTCCTCCTCCTTCTCCCCCTCCTCCTCCTCCCCCTCCTCCCCAGGAGTCCCTGGTGCCGAACCTGGGCTCCGCCATGATGGCCGCGCGCCCGCCCCGCTGGCCGCGCCGGCCTCCCCGCGCGGTCGGGGAGCGGGGCTCTAGGACGAACCCAAGCAGTGGCGAAGCTTCCTCCTCCTTCTCCCCCTCCTCCTTTTCCTCCTCCTCCTCCTTTTCCTCCTCCTCCCCCCCCTCCTTTTCCTCCTCCTCCTCCTTTTCCTCCTCCTCCTCCTCCTTCTCCTCCTCCTCCTCCTCCTCCTCCTCCCCCTCCTTCCCCTTCTCCTCTCATCACCGGTCGCCCATCCCTGCCTCCCCGCGCCTCTTCCGCCTCTCCGCGGCCGGGCCCGCGCTCTCATTTCCGTTCCCTCCTCCCCCTCGCCCCCCTTCTTCAAGCAGTGGCGAAGCGTCCTGTCTGGTCTGCAGGCCCCCCAAAGACTGTTCTAAGAACTCGATGTGGTCTGCGCGAAATGTTCTGAGAACAGTTTTGGCTGAGACTGTACTGTTTTAGCATATCGGGATTATGCTCTAAGAACCTTGCTTTTGCTCTGAGAACCCGTAAGGTTCTAAGAACATGTCGTGGTAGGCCTATAGGAATGCCGAGACGGTCGGGCCCTGCTCAAACGAAGAGAGCCAGGGGTTCGGCAGGGCTTTTGTCGACCCCTATGAATCGCTTCGCGTTCGACGGGTTCCGACTCTGATTCGGTTCGGCTTCGGATTCCAGTTTGTGTTCCGATGCCTCGAGGGAGTCCTGGTTCGCCTGCCGGTTCCCGCCGCTTCGACTGGGGTCGCCTTGGCTGCCGTCTTCCGCCGATCAGATTCATTTCGATCTCGATTCGATTCTGGGTTCCTGCTGGGTTGGGGACCATGGTCCGGGCACACCAAGAGACCACAAGCACAACCACGTGGATTTTTCCGGAGGGCCCCTCGGGAAGAACCCACCGACCTCGACATGGACACTTTTGTTTGTGCTTGTGGTCGATTTAGCCGTCTGGGACGCCCGCGTCGACCACAATCCGTACTGAGCTGGTTACGGTGTTCTGACGATTGTTGGCGTGCGCAAAACATCCCTCGGATGCTCGTTTGAGGGACCTTCGTGGGGCCCGCCTAACGGATCTGTTCGATTCTAGCTCGCTTCCAGTTCGACTCGATTTTGGATCAGGTTCGACGCAGTTTCGACTCAGGTTCGACTCAGATTCGACTCAACTTCGACTCCAGTCGACGGACGTTCGACGCAGCTTCGACGCACGAGTAGAGCGAGTGGCTCAGGGAAGGTCCCCAGAATGAGCATCTAACATCTCTCAGGGTGCGTTCCCGATGTGGTTGTGATCGCGTGCTGTCCCCGCATGGGGGGACATGGCCAGAGCCCCAGTTCTCCGACGATGTGTTTTTCGATTCGGCATTGGCGTTGTAACTTGTTCACAGCGGGCGTGTGCGCGGTGATCCGGGAAGGCCCCCGGCCTTCTGAGAAGTTTCCGAGGCCTGCCCCGAAGACAGACCACAGCTTCTCAGGAGGCGCGAGGGCCTCTCAGGAGTCCCGCCGCCTTCCGAGGATGCCTTCGCCTTCTCACCTCTTCCCCCCCCCTCGCTCGTCGCCGGATTTCGGCCTGGCTGGGGGTCGTGGTCGGGCCTCCAGGGGACGCAGAGAGACATGTCTCGGGGGTGGACAGACCTCCTACCCTGACGTGCGCCCGCCAGGTTTGCGCCCGCCAGGCTTGGGCCCGATGTCGTTTTCACTAGACCACGTTTTACTAAAGGGGGGTCTGTCCATCCCCGAATGTCTCTGTGACGGAGGAGCGTCCCCCCCCCCCCCCCTGCAGGTGGGGGTCGAGGCCCGTGCGGCCGCGCACGGGCAACAGTACATCGTTTGATGTTTTTTCGGGGGGTCGCCTTCTCTTGTGCTCTTCTCTCGGCACTGGTGGGGCGTGTGCACGTTTCCCTCTCGGCGAGGACCCCCGACGAGCACGTCGGGCCATCCCGGGAGCCACGGAACGCAGGAGATCGCAAGTTGCAAGGGGAATCTAACCAGAAAGTTGCGATCTTGTTTTTGAGATTCCTTGTTTTGCCGATCGGCCTTTCCTCCCCCCCATGGAGTAGATCTTGGCTGTGTTCGGCTCCTGTTTCAAGCAGGTGGAGTCTCTCCGAAAGAACGCACAGTCTCAAACAGTCGTCGCACCAAGCAGAGCAGAGGTCCAGAGCCAGACGCCCCCCCCCCCCCTTCCGCCTCATTTCCAAACGCCGAATAAGAGAACGTGCACTATGAACGTCGGAGCGATGTCGAGTTCTTCCATTCGTTCTCCCTTCCGTCGTCCGTGCACATGCCCTGGACCACGCTTACCATTTGCGGCCTTCCTCGTGCATGCGCGCAGCCAGGCACAACCGAGGCCCAGCACGGGCTGGGTTCCTGTCCATGGTTCGTTTTGTGCAAGAGCTTCTGACTGTACGCGTGAGGGCTACGCGCGAGGGCTAATGACGGTGGTGGCGGCGACCGCGACGACGACGCCGAAGATGTTCCCACGTACCTCGTTACCCTCTGGCTGGTGACGCGCGCCGCGGCCCGCTGGCGCTCTCGAGTGAATGCGCCCTTGCTGGGTCAAGCTGCGCGCGGGGGCCCCTTATTTCAAAAACCTTTGAAGCCCGCCCAGGTTTCGCACTTTTGGGGACCAGGCGCTTTCGCCATGTTGCGAGTCGTGGTTTTCTACGTCCATTGATCCTCTTCGTGACGGCGGTCCGACGTCACAAGAAAAGGGTTGCAACCGAACGTCCATGATGTCCGAAGTCGTCGGATCTCAGGGACTTCTGGTCGCAGCTCATGTGAGGTTTCGTTTGGCCTCGCCCCTTGTAAGTATATTCGTGGTCGAAGGCTGTGCTGAATCCTTTTGAACACTGGGCGTACCCATGTTTGGTTCGGCTTAGTGGCCCATCAACTGGGTTCAATAGTTTCTAGCCGTTCTCGAGAAGACCTCCTATGAGCCGCCCCCGAGGGACGCTTCAGTGTGCCAGGGGGCACTGCTGCGGCTGCGCAGCCCGGGCGATGATCAAGGACCCGTTCGCCTGAGAGACCCAGGACGGCACTGCGGCAAAGCTTTGTTAGAATCGCAGAAGGTCACACCGCATAAACATAAACTTTTGGCGCCCCGCGCAGATCCAAGAAACCCGCGCGAAGCGCCAAGAGTTTGTGTGCGTGCCGTTTTTTTCCTGTCCTGCTGCCCGAACAGTGCCGCTGGCGGCCGCAGCCGACGGACGACGACCGCGCGGGCGGCGGCGACGCCGACCCCGGAGGCGGGGCGGCGGCGGCGAGCGGCCGGCGGTGCCGCGCGGCGGCGGCGAGCTCCGCGCAGGTCGCTGCGTTCCTCTGCGCCGGCCTCGGGACCCTCGCGGTGAGCGACGGCCGCGCGCGAGCGCGCGCGCGCGCGCGCCGTCGCCGTCCTCGCCGCCCCCCCGAGACTCAGCGGCGAGCGAGGCTCGAGGTTTCCGGGCGTTCTCGTGGGCTCTCGGCGGTTTTCCAGCGTCGGGATGGTGGCCAGCGGCTGCGCCTCGCCGCGGGCGTGCCGGGGGTGCCCAGATCCGTCCCGAACGCCCGCCTGAGACCCGAGCTATGACCCCAAAACACAAATTCGGCAGCGAGCGAGGGGGGGAAGTGGGAAGGAGAAGGACTTCTCAGAAGCGCGCCTTCTGGGAGGTTCTCCTTGTGTGACCAGGGACGGCTTCGAAACTTCCCAGAAGGCCGGGGGTCTTTCGAGCCTTCTCAGAAGGCCTTCTCCTTCTCATTCCCTCCCCCCTCGCTCACCGTCAAGTGAAATCTCCGCGGCGTCGCGCAAAAGACGAAATCCTATGTATATATATATATATATATATACATAGGAAAATATGGAGGAAAGTCCTGGGATTTGTGTGTGTATTTCTTTGTGTGTGTCCCTGGTCCCCTGTAGTCTTTGCCTTCGTCGATACGGCCGCTGTCGTCGTCCTTGTGGAACTCGTCGCGGAGGATAGGATGGATGGAGGCAGGGGGAGAGGGAAGATGGAGGGAGGGGGTGATGAGGGGAGGGGTGGAGGGTGGAGGGGGTAGAGTGGATGGGGAGGGTGGAGGAGGGGGAGGGTGAACGAGGCGAGATGATAGAGAGGGAGAGAATAGAGGCGAGGGAGGCTGTGGTTGTGGTTTGCAATCTTGAGGTTGTGTTTCGTACGGAGGGAGAAAGTAATAATGGAAACATGCAGAGAGAGAGAGAGAGACAGATACGAGAGAAGAGGAGAGAGAGAGAGAGAGAACGAGAGAGCGATAGAGAGAGAGAGAGAAAGAGAGACCGCGAGGATAGAGACAAGGGAGGACCGGGGGAGGAGCAGGAGTAGCGGGGGGGGGGATACCAGACGAGATGTACCAAGTCTTTATCAACGAGGCAGAATATTTGAATCCAGACGAGAAGGCCCAACGCTCAGAGTGAACATATAGCGACGGTCGGATTTCGGGAGAGGCCGAAACGAGCAGAAATAAGCACGAATGTAGTATAATCCGCGACGCGAGATGGTCTTGGTTCGAAAGTCGACCCCTCAACCTGTCCAGGGGTGTGTTCTTACCACAGCGTCGACAAACGTCTAGCCGTGGCCACGAGCCTTCTGGAGGCCCGCGACGGTCACAGATCTAAGGACACGTCCGAACCCCGAACCTCGAGCCTCGTCCGGGATCGTCTTCCTGGGAGCCCCGCCAGAAGCGGTGTCCAGCGGCCTGCAGCGACAACACACCGCCGGACCGAGCTGTCTTAGGCCCTGGGGTCGGACACCGACCCCCGGACCTCTCCGTGCGTTATGATGTTCCAACCTGCTGTAGCTTGCTTAGCCTTGTTCACCAGAAAGAATCTCGAGCGCCAAGGGAGTGACGAAACTTGAGGGGATTCACGCGTCGGGCCCTGGGGGGCGATGCTCGTGGGACACGGTCTCGACAGTCACTCTCCTGGGTGCTCGCAAGTTTTGGTTCCGGGATGTGGCCCTCGAGTACGACGGGAGCTACATAGCCCGTGCGGTGCGGTCTGGCCCGAAGCTCGACGGGAACTCAGCCGTGGCCACGAGGAGCCGCCCCCGAGGGCCGCGGAGATAGGCCGAAGAGCGCTCGAGCACCTCGAAGCCTCGTGTCGGGGAAGCGTCAGGCTAAGTCGGGCATCTCGCTCTACAGGAGGATTATTCAAAAATTGTAAATCGTCTGGAGACTTTTTTCTTTTATTTTCACCCGTTTGGGATGTGTGTTACAACTATGTTTTATGTTTCGTCCAAACTCCGCTTGCAGGAGGACACGCCTGACCGAAACGTAAGGCTCGAGTGCGCCAGAGTTCGGGTTCGACGACGCCGTTTGACGAGCGCGCCCCAGAGTTTCACGTCCAGTGCTCGTCGGATGTCTGGCAGCGGGAGATCACATCACGTCTCAGGCTGGGTCTCGTCGTTTCCATGATGGCCCCGTCAGGCCAACCCGAGTTCCCCGAACCCGAGTCCGGGAGGAGGAGGATTCTGCTGGATCCTGCTGGCCTGATCTGCCTCCACATCGAGCATATGGCTTGGAGCCGACTGGAGAAGGCGTTCACCCCCCCCCCCCCCGAGCTCACCCTGCGCGCGCCCCGCGCCGCAGCTTTCGGGCAGAGGCTCAGGGGGCAGGTTTGACGTGGGAGGCCTGCGGTTTTCGGACGTCTTCGTCGCTTCTCGCTCCCCCCTGCATCGAAGGGCACCAACTTCGCACCTCCACCGCGCCCGACGAGTCTTTATGTCTCCCCGATCGCTCCCCGACGCCAATGATGCTCCAACCTGCTTTAGCCTTGATCACCAGCAAAAAAATCGAGCACCAAAACAAGTACCGAAACTCGAGGGTTTTCACGTGTCGGGCCCTGGTAGACACTCGTCCGACACTGTTTCGACACTGTTTCGGCACTCTTTCGAAACTTTTCAGGGTGCTCGAAATCATTTCTGGGATGTTGTTCTTAGTTACGATGGGAGCAACATAACCCGAAGCTCGAACACCCCGAAGCCTCGGAGCCTGGGAACCCTTCGGGCGCCCGGCGCTGCCGCCGCGCGCAGAGGGGGGAGTGCTGCGCCGTGGCGCCGCGCTTGGTTCCCCCTGCGGACCTCACCCGGACGGGTTCAATCTCAAAGGCCATTTTCCTCACCCAGTGCGCTTGAGACCCGAGATCCAGCGTACTTGATAGTCGAAGTCAAGACGAAGGTGTTTCGCCGTATTCGGCCTCTGGAGGCCCTCGCCAGGCCCCGGGACAGTCAAAGGACGATCCAGGATGGAAAACCCCTCCTTGGGAGTGGGTTGAGACCCCGAGCTGGACCTAAACGCTATTTTGCTGGACTTCGGCTGTGTTTTGTTTTTCGTTATGGCAGGGAGGTGCAGAAAAATGGCAAAATGACAAACAAAACGAACACATAACGAAAAATAGCGTTTAGGTCCAGCCCTGTTGAGACCCCTGGGGGTCGACGTTGTGAACAAATCATGACGTCGGGGGTCTGGGTTGAGCAACCCGGGCGCTCCCGTCGGCCTGGACTCCCGGCGTTCCAGGATTTTCGAGCCGGGCGTTTTCTTTTTCTTGTTCGGGCACCAGCGCTGTCACAGATCGATCCCGTTTGACAAATGCCAAATGCTGCAGAAAGATGGTGTCTTAGGGATCCGGGCGTGATTTCCAAAGATGCTGCAATGTTTTCTCGCTACGTCGGATCTTAGGGGAGAGTGACCCTTCGCCTGAGTGACCTTTTTCGCAGTCGATGTTTCTCCCGCAATACCCGAGTTCCGCCCGAGAAGTTGGGCCGCTCAGAGAAGGGGGGGGAAACTCTGGGATACACCCACCCCCAGGGGGCTATTCGCACGCACACCTGCCGAGGATGGACGCCCCCCCCGTCGCACATCCCCGACCTGAGTGAGACCCACATTCTGCGCAGCCCCACGAGATCTGGGATTTGGGTCGTCATTTTGCGCTGGGGGAGCGGTGCACCCTCGCCAGGGCTCCCATGGCCGCCGACGCCGCTCGAATTCTGGACCCTGCGCCGGTGTTTCAGGAGTCTGGCCCTGCAGGGGCAGGGCTCACATGAGCGTCGCAACGAGAACGGGGTCGTGCGCGCCGGCATGGGCGGCGCACGCTGCCCGCGCAAGCTCGCGCGTGCTCAGCGCGCCGTGCTGGCGGCCTGCGTAAGCCAACGCGTGAGGTCGCTGCGTCGCAAGCACAAGGCCAACGCGTAAGGCCCCGCGTGAGCCAACGCCTGCGCAAGCCAACGCGTAGGCCAACGCGTAAGGCCTCGCGCGAGACCAGCTTTTGCTTCGCTCGTCGCTCACCAGGGGTTGCCTACGCGCGCCCGGCGTCCCTCGCCAGGTGATCCTGCCGTGCGTGAACCCGAGCTGGCTGGCGACCGCCGAGGGCGGCACGCCCACGCCGGAGGAGTCGGACGTGCCGCTCCTGCTGGGAGGGGGGGCGAGGGAGGTTCGTTCGACAAGAGGAGTAGGAGAAGGAGGAGTCGAGTAGGGGATCGATTTCAGAATTGACTTGCCCCTGAATCGTGATCCTTTGTAGCATTCTCAAAGCAAACACACATCCGTATAACCGCGTGCCCCGGATAAAACATCAGAACCCCGCCCTTCACGATCGAGAGTCAATTGTCTCTGGCCAAGGCAGAGTTGGTCGGGGGGGATGGGCCACAAGGGCGATCTTGCTTACCGCGGGGGAGAGTTACGATCCGAAGTTGCTATCTTCTTATGTCGAGTTGAAATATCATCATCCCACGTGTGGCAGGACAATTGGACAGTACCTACGCTCATGACTACTAGTATTACCACGGCTACTACGGCGACTACTACTACTATTACTACTACTACTACTACTACTACTACTACTACTGGCACTAGTACTACTACGACTAGTACTACTACTACTACTACTACTACTACTACTACTACTACTACTACTACTACTACTACTACTACTCCTACTGCTACTACTACTACTACTACTACTACTACTGCTACTGCTACTGCTACTACTTCTACTACTTATTCTTCTTCTACGACTGCTACTACTACTACTACTACTATTGCTACTGCTGCTGCTGCTGCTGCTGCTGCTACCAGTACTACTACTACTACTAATACTACTACTACTACTACTACTACTACTACCACTACCACTACCACTACTACTACTACGACTACCACTACTACTACTACTACTACTACTACTACTAGTAGTACTACTACTACTACTACTACTACTACTACTACTACTACTACTACTACTACACTACTAGTACTACTACTACTACTACCACTACTACTACTACTACTACTACTACTACTACTACTACTACTACTACTACTACTACCACATACTACGACTAGGGTAGCGCTTGACCTATGGAGTGCGAGGTTTGGGTGCGGGTTTGGGTTTGGACTTGGGCTTGCGTTGGCAATCCAGAACGTTGTACACCACCCATTGCATGCGTTCATGCACTTTTTCTGGAGTCCCAATCAAAGTACGGGCCGTAAATGGGCGGGGGTAATTGCTAAGCCCTGCTGAGCTTGGCTAAGCCCTGCTAGTCCCCGCTGAGCCCTGCGAAACCCGGGCGCTCTCTTCTAAGCGCTTTTAAACCCCGCTCAGTCTTGCTAAGCCCAGCTAATTCCTGCTAAGCTCGGGTAAGCCCTGCTCTAAGCATTGGCAAGCCCTGCCCAGTTCTGCCAAGCCCTGCAGAGCACTGCTAAGCTTCCCCAGGCCCTGCGTAGCCCCGCTAAACTTTGCTCAGCCCTTCTGAGCCCTGCTGAGATTTGGCAAGCCCTGGCAAGCCGTCCTGGCAAGCCGTGCGAAGCTTTTTGTTTCATCTGGTCAACCCTCGACCCCGCTATGTTCTGCAAGTCCTTCTAGTTGTTGGTAAGCATGGCTAGAGTTGTTGCTCCGTTGTAGTAAGTCCTGGCAAGCCCTGGTAGGTCTGGTAAATCCTGGTGAGCCCTGGTAAGCTGTTGCACGCCCTGGTAAGCCCTGCGAAGCTCAGCCCTGATAGGTGTGGGCAATGTTTGCTAAGGCCTGCCACGCCCTGCTCAGCCTGAGTCAACCCAGCTAAGATTTGCTCAGATCTTTCAAGCATCGCTGAGTTTTGCTTCGCCTAGCTAAGCCCCGGAAGGCCCTGCAGATCTCTGGTAAGCCATGCGCAGCTTGTCTAAACTTTGGTCTGCCAGGCGAAGCCTTGGCGCGCCATGCTAAGCGTCGCACTGTCTTGTTGAGCATGTGTAAGCCCTGATACGCCCTGGTATCCCTGCTAAGCATTGCCCAGCTCTGGCACGCGTTGCTAAGCTTCGCGAGGCCCTGCGAAGCGCTGCTAAGCCCTGCTAAGCCCTGTCCGCCCTGCGAAGCTTTGGTAAGCAGTGGTAAGTCCTGGCCAGCCCTTATAAGTTTTGTAAAACCCCCGCCAAGCCTTCTTAAGCTCTACTGAGTCCTTGTAAGCCGTGCTACGCCCATGTAATTCCTGCGAAGCCGTGGTGCGTGTTGCGGTTTGATGGGTTCCCCATTGGACTTCAAGAAAAACCCTGTTGCGGTCTCATAGGAAACCGGTTCGAACCCCATATACGGCCTCCCCACTGACACGAAAAAAATCTCAATGGGTTACAATTCTTCCCTGATGACATCCAATACAAGGTAATTGTGTATAGAAGAAGTGGCTTTTCCCATGTGAATCATATAAAGAACTTAGGAGGGGTTCGAATTGAACCCCATGGAACCCAATCGGGCTCCGATTAAAATCGAACCATTGGCGGCCATTCGGCTTCGATCCTCCCCCAAGGTCCAACATCTCGTTGAAGGGTGGGTTGGGGGCTGGGGGGTGGGCGGGGAAATATCCGAGCTCCTCAGCGCAACCCCCGGATATTCTTAACCTACCATATCTGCCTTCAGTGGACGCAATGCCTCGAGTATTGTGGGTATGGGAGGAGTAGTTACAGCATCCTTAAAATGCTATAGCAACCCTCTGAAATCCTATGAGAGGGGTATGGATTTTTTATCGGATCCCCACTGGATCCTATACGAGTGTATGGGAGGGCTACAAGATCCCTGCGGGATGCTCAAGAGGCTATGCCAAATCTTACAGGAGAGGTCGTACGGGATGCGGTAGCACTCCTATGGAATCCCATGGGAGGCGCGCGGGGGTTGCTACAGGACCCCAGCAGGATGTTATAGCAGTCCATCGGAATCCCAAACGAGATCCTAGGACTGCTATAGGACCTGTACGGAATGCACTGGCAATCCAACGGGACCCTATGGGCGTAAAGTTGGGGTGCGATCGGATCTGCACGGGATGTTGTAGCAGTCCTACGGAATCCCATTGGAGTGGTGTAAGAGGGCTACAGCCCCCCGCGGGATACTATGGATGTCATGCGGAATCTTGTTGGAAAGGGGCACGCGCGTGCCATTGCATCCCTACGGGATACCATAGCAGTCCTCGGAACCCTATAGGGGATATCGGAATTCATGTAAAGCCTGGTGGATCATGTAAGTATGGCTAAAATCAGAAGGTATTTTTTGTAAATGTTGGATTTCAGATTCGTGTTTTTACGGCCACAACACGCACCGGCCATATATATATATATATATATATATATATATGTATACATCTATATTTATATTTATGGGCTGTATATCACCGGCCACAGCGAATGCGCGTCCGAACTAACATTCCCATTAATACCGCTGCTACCACTACTACGACGGCAACAACAACAATTACTACTACTACTACTACTACTACTACTACTACTACTACTACTACTGGTACCACCACTACTATCACTACTGCTCTCACTACTACTACTACTGCTACTACGACTACTACTACTACTACCACTACTACTACTACTACTGCTACAAGTTCTATTTTTTATAACCACCACGGCTACTACGACTACGATTCTAGTTTTATGATCATTACTACGACCCTTAATCCTACTACTTCTACCACTACTATTACTACAATTACTGCGACTACTCCCACTAGTACTTCCACTTCTACCACCTACTACTACTACTACTACTACTACGACTACTACTACTACGACTACTACTACTACTACTACTACCCTGTTACTACTGCTATTACTACTATTACTACTACTACTACTACTACTACTACTTTTACTACTACTACTACTACTACTACTATTACTACTACTACGACTACTACTACTACTACGACTACGACTGCTACTAATAGTACCACTACTACTACTACTACTACTACTACTACTACTACTACTACTACTACCACTACAACTACTACTACTACTACTACAACTACTACTACTACTACTACTACTACTACTACTTCTACGACTCTCACTGCGACGCCCATCATTTCTTTCACGCCTATTTCTTTATTACTACTATTACTGCTACTTCTACTAAAGCTAGTTCTACTACTACTACTACTGCTACTACTAGTATTACTACTACTGCTAGTACTACTACCATTACTACTACGACTACCACCACGACTACTATTACTTCTTACGGTTATTACTACAGCTAGAACTACTTCTATTAGTACGACTACGATTGCTACTGCGAGTGGTACTTTTGTTGCAACAACCAGTATCATGACTACTGTTCCTACTACTACTACTACTACTACTACTACTACTACCACTTACTACTACTACTACGGCGACTACTACTACTATGACCTCGACTACGACCATTACTCTTCTCATTTTTGACCACCACTATTGTTACCACTATGCCTGTTACATCCTTATTGCTACGACTTTCAGAAATTATGCCAGTACTGAAGCGGAAACTACTACTACTATTAGTGCTACTACTACGACTTTCGCTGCCATTTCTATTACTCCTGCTACTACTACTACTACTACTACTACCACAACCACTGCTACGATCACAACCCTTCGTGCGAGTTGTATTGTTACTATTTCTACCATAAATACTACCATTAATATTACAACTACTACGACTACTACTACTACTACTACTACTTCCACTACTACTACTACTACTACGACTACTACTACTCTACTACTACTACTGCTACTGCTACCACTACTTCTACTACTACTACTACTACTACGACTACTACTACTACTACTACTACTACTACTACTATTACTACTACTACTACTATTGCCACTGCTACAGGTATTCTTATTCCTACTACTGCGATTGCCGTTACGACTGCGGCTACGCGTACGGCTACGGCAACGACGGTTTCTATTATTATTATTAACATTGTTGCTACTTCTACCACGGGTGTTTCTACCACCCTTACCATCAGCACGATGATGATTGCGAGTTGTATTGCTAGCATCATTAGTACTACTACTTTCAATACTACTACTACTACTACTAGTACGACTACCAGTACTACGACTACCATATCACTGCTAATACAAGTTATACTACTGTTGCTGCTGTCTCTGCTACTACTTGTTCTACCACTACTGCTACATGTGCTGCTTTCATGACTACTACTGCGATTACTACTACTACTACTACTACTACGAATTCTATTTCTATTTTTGCCACTACAACTCGTACCACTACTACGAATACTACAATTACTATTATTACTACTACTACTACTACGACTGCTACTACTACTTCCTTTACTACTACTACTACGGCTACTACGACGACGATTCGTATCACTGCCACAACTACCACTACTACGTCGACTACTATTACCAGTTTAAGACTAGTACTACCACGGCGGCGATCACGACCAGTACTACTACGACCTCCATCACGGCCACCTTCAGATTTTCATTTTTTCTATTACGGCTATTACTATCACGACTACTGCTACAATCACAGCTGTTACTACTACTAGTACTACCAGTCCTACTACTACCACCCCTACTACCACCCCTACTCCTACTACTACTACTGTGACTGCCACTACGATTAGGAGTGCTACTACTACTACTACTACCACCACCACTACCATTAACGACTGCCTACTACTTGTAGGACCACGACGACGGCGACTACTACTACCGCTATTGCTACTACTACCACCATTGCTACCACTACCCGGTCATTACGCCCATTATTCGCATTCTAACAACTACTATTTTTATATTACTACTACTATTATCGTTGTTTTTTCTATCTACTCTTAGGTTTATCATGACTGGCGTTACCACGCCAACTACTACTACTACCACTATTACTATTACTATTACTACTACTATCATTATCACTACTACTGCTACTACTAGCACCAGTACCACCACTACGACTGGTACTACTACTTCATCTACTACCACTACTGTTACCTATACTACTACTAACTGCGAATACTATTACCATTGCTGTTACGACTACTATTGCTACGACTACGCGTCCTAGTTCTGCCACTACTGGTAGTATTCCTCTACAACTACTACTACTAATACTACTACTACCACTACTACTACTACTACTACTACTACTACTACTACCACTAGTACTACTACTACGGCTACTACTACTGCTACTACGACTGATGCTACTACTACTACCATTGCCACTACCACGACTAGGACTACTACGGCCACTGCCGTTACTACTACTACTACTACTACTACTACTAATATTGCTACTACTCTTCTACTGCTACTACTGCTACTACCACTACTACTCCTACTACTACGACTGCTACTATTCTTCTACTACTACTACTACTACTACTACCACGACTGGTACGACGTTTACTACTACCACTAGTCTTACTACTAGTACGACTACTACTACTACATCTACTACCACTATTGGTATCTATACTACTACTAGCTACTAAAACGGTTACCCTTATTGTTACTGCTACTATTGCTACGACTACGCTTCTTAGTTCTGCCACGATTGGTGCTAGTGTTACTTCTACTGCTATTACTACTACTACTTCTATTACTACTACTACTACTACTACTACTACTTCTACTACTACTACTACTACTACGAATACGACTACTACTACTACTACTACGACTACTGCTGCTACTACTACTACTACCACCACGACTACGACTACTACGACTACGACGGCCATTACCATTTTTATTGTTATTACTTCTGCTGCTACGACTACTACGACAGCTACTACTACTACTACTATTACTACTACTACTACTACTACTTTTACTACTACTACGACTACTACTACTACTACTACTACTACTCCTACTAGTACCACTACTTCTATTTCTACTACTACTACTACTACTACTTTCACTACTACTACTACTACTACTACTACGACTACTACTACTACAACTACTACTACTAGTACTACTGCGACTACTACTTTCACTACGGATTATTATTATTCTTACTACTACTACTACTACTACTAGTACTACTACTTTTACTACTACTACTACTACTACTACTGTTCTCTTTCTGCCTTGCCCCATATCTTGTGTACCCTAGATTACTTAGCACCAGGAACGGGCCACCATGAGTTCCAATACGTTTGATGTAGAAAACGGCTACAATGTTATTCTTTGGCCATAAGACACTCAATGACCCGAATCCTATTTGCGGGGGTGGAACGGGTCCCGGGGCCTCTATCCTCTCCACTTCTCCACCCCTCCCATTCATTCTCTCTCCTTTCCCAGCCACCTCCTGGTGATCCTTTCCGAAGTCGCTAGCGTGTGGCAGGGCTAGGTCGTCGTCGTCGTCCTCATGCGACGACGACGACATCTTCTTTCTTCGTCATTCACCCGACGGGCGACTTGCTGGCACAATCGCTTATTATCCCCCCCAGAACCCCGAACACTATAATCCCCCGGGCGATTTGCGGAGCATGCTAGGTTTTTTTTTGTTGTTGCAATGTTGACGGATATTACTTTTGTGGGGTGAATTTATTGTGCCATCGATCCCGTATTCGAGCGAGGAGGAGGAGGAGGTATTGTCCAAGCCCGTGCAGTGCAACGGAAGGGGTAGTAGCAGGACGTACCGTCGTTTTTTTGTTATTCTTCCTTTTCTTCCTCCTCCTCCTCTGATCGTTCCCACTCGTCGTTCCCTCCTTCGTCCTGATCCTTCTGGGGTGAAGCGGTTCGTTGGTTCGTCCTCCCTCCTTCTCCTCCTCCTCCCCTCCTCCTCTTCTCTCCTCCTCCTCCTCCTCCTCCTCCTCTCGTCTCCTCCTCTCCCTCCTCCTCCTCTCCTCCTTCCTCCTCACCTCCTCCTCCTCCTCCCTACCTCCTCATCCTCCTCCTCCTCCTCCCACTCCTCCCCCCCCCTCCCCCTCCCCCTCCTCCTCCCCCTCCTTTTCCTCCCCCTTCCTCCTGCCCTTCCCCTTCCTCCTTCGCCGTTCTCCTCCAGACAGCCTGCGCACGCCTGCCCTGCTCCTTCCCCTTCCATTTGGCTTCAGCGGCCCCCCCTCCCCTCCGCTCCGCGCGGCCCCAGAGGTGCAGAAGTTCCTGATGCTGCTGCCCACGCTGTTTATGGGCAGCCTGTCGTTCGGTCCCCCCCAGGGGACGGGGGGTATGCTGGGAGTGAGTGAGATCACATTCATTTGAAAGAGGAAGGGAGAGGAGGGAGCGGGGGGAGATCAGGGGCAACGAGGGGGGTTAGGGCATGGGCCTAGGGGGGGACGCATCGATCCCGAATCGCCCATCATCGCCAATGTGAGCCAGATAGCCCACCCCATCCCAGGAACGTCCACAGTTGCACTCGGGGGCACATCGCCGTTCTATTGGCGATGTATATGTTTACTTCAATTGCCCAGATTTCAGACCAGGGTGCTGGGATGGGGGTAGAGCCAGGCGAGATATTGCAGGGTCGGAGGTCCCTACACCGTTTGTCCATCAGGACAACCATCGTGACAACCAACACATTCTGGCTGCATGTTGGTCAAAAGCACGTGGCGCCGGCGCCAAGCGCATCTGTTGGCGGGATTTCACCTGGAGAACCATCAGAGCAACCATCGGAACAACCATCGGGACAACCATCGAAACAACCGTGGGGACAGCCGTCGGGACAACCGTCGGGACAACGCACGGGAACACCATCGCGAAAATCGCAGTACGCTTACAGGACAAACGCGGAACAGCCACGGATCAGCCACTGGGTAGCCGCGGGACAACCATTGGCGCAGATCCGCCTTGGCCCCAGCGGCGGCGGGGTCGCTCCTCCCGCCCGCGCACGCAGCTTCGCCACGGCCGCACGGGCGGCACGACCAGGGTGCCGACACCAGATTCCATGTGGGGGTCTCCGTGTCAGTTCGATCGCCCCCCCCTTTTCCAGTATGCGTGCACACATGGGCGTATCGTATGTGTGCATCCATACAGAGAGAGAGAGAGAGAAACAAACAAAAAGAGAGAGAGAGAGAGAGACGGGAGAGCGAAAGAGAGATGGGACGAGCAAAGAACGGGGAATCGAGGGAGACCGAGAGAGACAGTAGGGACGAGAGAGGAAAGAGAGAGAGAGAGAGACCAACATCAAGAAGGCACACAAAGAGAGAGAGAGAGAGAAAGAAAGACAGCGCGCGAGAGAGAGAGAGATACTGAAAGCGATAGGAGGGGGAGGAGGGGAGAGAGAGAGAGAGAGAGAGAGAGAGAAAAAAACGAAAACGATCTATATATATAGAGAGAGGGAAAGAGAGAGAGCGAGAGAGAGAAACAACGAAAAACATACCATCCAGAGCCGCATCAATCAATCACCCTGGTACGGGGGGTACAGGTGCTTTGTACAACTCCATGCAGTTCTGGTATCAGCAGCAGGCACCTCGCGGGCCCGTGGTGTATATGCACCTCCTTCCTGTCTCCCTTTCCCTTTGCCCCCCTCTCTTCTCTCCAACGTTTCTGTTCTTTCCCTCTCCTCCTTCTCGCCTCCCTCCTGCTCCTACCCCCCTCCCACCTCGCATCCCCTTCCCATCTCGCCTCCGTTCCTTCTTTCCATCCTTCCCTACCTTAGCATCCGTCCAGTCATGCCTCACCCGACGTGTACTTCCTCTCCCCTCGCTTCGCCGCCCGCCCCCTTCACTTTCCATCCCGCCCTCCCTCATTTCCCCTCTGTCCTCTCTTCGTGCGTCCCTCTTCACCTGCGCACACCGACACCTCTCTGCCTATGAGTGCAGTGGGGGCCAGTGCCAAGAGACACCCGGCGTGCCTCCAGGGTGCCCTGGGTTTCTTGGGTTTCGATGGTTCTCTTGTGGAGATCGTCACGCTCCCGTACCAAAAAAAATGGAGGTCCTGGGATCTCAGGGTTGGGTTTCTTGTGAAAGGTTTCTTGTGGACTGGCCTTCGCTGCATGTGCGTGGCGAATGGCGACGAGTGCCCCCTTTGCGCACCCGTGCTTGCCGACCTCCTCGGCTGGCCGTCCCAGGAAAAGGCAGGGCAGACGAGGGCGAGCCTCGCTCAAGCGAGTCCTCCACTTTGCGCCGACCCCGGGATCGCAGGTGCTGCAAATCAGCCGACCCCCAGGGGGATAAGATACAGGGTTTCTCCGAAGGGCTTAGGCGACCCGTCCTCCTCCTCCTCCTCCTCCTTCCTCTCTCCTCCTCCTTCCTCTCCGATTTCCTCCTCCTCCCCTCCCCCCCCCCCCTCCTCCTCTCTCCTCCTCCTCCTCCTCCTCCTCCTCCTCCGATCCTCCTCCTCCTCCTCTGTCATGCAGCCGCCATTGCGATGTCTCTGACGGCGTTGCAGCCGATGTGGCAGAGAGCCGGCCTGGCGGAGCCTCTCCTCCTTTTCCTCCTCCTCCACCTCCTCGCTCCTCCTCCTCCTCCTCCTCCTCCTCCTCCCTCCTCCTCCTCCCTCCTCCCTCCTCCCTCTCCCTCCTCCCTTCCTCCCTCCTCCCTCCTCCCTCCTCTCCCTCCTCCTCCTCCTCCTCCTCCTCCCTCCTCCTCCTCCTCCTCCTCCTCCTCCTCCTCCTCCTCCTCCTCCTCCTCCTCCTCGGGTCGCCTGCGGCCCTGGGGAAGCCGTGCAGGGGTAGATCCGCTGACCCCCAAGGTGGCGCCCCGCTCAGGCGAGTCTTCCTCTTTTCGCCGACACCCGGATCGGAGGTACTGGAAATCAGCCGACCCCCAGGGGGCCTGTTTCGCATCAAAAACGCCCTGGGCGTTGTTTTAGCGTTTTCAACTTTGGCTCTTGACAGGCTGAAGACGCAAACAATAACGCTACGTTTGTTTAGCAATGTGAGGGCTATTTGTTTGGTTTGTGTCCGTTGGTGTGGAAACGGTCTGGAATCGCTAAAACAACGTAACATGTGTTTAGCAGTATTATTTGTTTGTTGAGCCCTGGCAGCGCAACAATAAAGTATGTCCAAGACGCCGAGTTGAAAACGCAAAAAAAACGCCCTGGGCATGTTCAAGGCAAACCAAGCAGGGGGGTAGATCCGCTGGCCCCCAAGGGGGGTGAAAAGCCAGCCCTCACAGGCCGAAAGCAAACCTCAAAGACTGGGGGCACGAATTAAACGGGACGTCTGCCCTCTCAGGCCGCTCACGGCTGGGCACGCTCCGGCAGGGGTTCGTGGGCGGGCCCCATTCTCAGAAGCCGGCCGCGAAGCAGCTGCGCCGAAATACTCGGCGAGCGTCTGGAGCTTGGGCGCGATCTCTCTCGGCACCTTCGCCTCGAATGCACTGCCCTCCGCGCCTCCAGCTGCGAGAACACATGCTGGAGTTCCTTCCCTTGCGCCTCCAATGGCGCGATCTGCGCCTTGATCTCATCGATGGCCGTTGCCAGCTTCATGGTGTCCTCCTGGAGAGCCAGCGCTGCCTTGGCCGTCAAGTCCTGCACGTGCTGAGTGAGGTCGGCGAGCTGCGACTGCACCTCAGCACGGGCAGGAGCCGGCGGCTTGCCCTCCTCCTGGGGGGGCCGGCGGCCCCGGGACCTTCAGGTCGCCCACGGTCTGGCTCGGTCCGCCGAGTCGCGGCTGCATCGCGTCCAGCAGGTCCACCCGCGCCTCCACGGATGGCGGCGCCGGCACGTCCATCAGGTCCTGCACTCGCTGGGTCAGCACGGCGAGCTGCGTCTGCATCGCGTCGACGTCCGGGGCCAGCGCCTTGGTCTCCACCAGGGGCGCGAGCGCTGGAGTGACCGGCAGCAGGCAGGCACAGCGCCGCCGACACCAGCGCCGCCGACACCGCCTCGCTGCTGTATAGAGGTTCAGGCCAGTGCCGCACGGCGCTCTCAAGACCGCTCCGGGTACTTCACAGCCTGTTGGGCCGGCCACGCCGCGGTTGCCGCTCCGGCCGGTTCCGCGGCAACGGCGTGCGGCTGCGGGCGCCTGCCAGAGGAGCTCTCCGCGGAGCCCAGGTCGGCGGGGTCGGAATGGAATGACTCCGGGAGTAGCGCCGGGAATCCAGGGACCGGCTCGAGCGCCGCGGTGCGCGCGTGGTACTCGATGCCCGACTCGGCTTTGAACTCTGGGTCGAACTGGAACGTCTCGGTGGTGCGGTCAATGGTTCCTGGGGAGCCGCTGGCGATGTCGTAACGCTCAGGGCTCTTCGTAGCAGACGTGCTTTCGCCCCCGCCAAGGCATCCACTCTCTTCATTAGCTGCACTCTCTGCGAACAAGCCAGCAGAGCTGCCCTGCAGTGTAGGGCACCCCTCGCTGGCTGGAATGGCTTGTGGACGCTCCTCCCTCGCGGCCTCCTTCCGGCTGGGAGGGTCCGGCCGTGGCAGCGGGCGTTTCGGCTGCTCCGCCGCCTCCGCGCTCCTCTGCAAGGTCTGCACAGGGAGCGACTGGGTCTGTCCGGGCTCCGCCAGGCCAGCTCCCCTGCCACAGCGGCTGCAACGCAGTCAGGGACATCGCAATGGCGGCGCTGCATGCCAGGAGGAGGAGGTGGATGAGGAGGAGGAGGAGGAGGAGGAGAAGGAAGATGAGGAGGAGCAGGAGGAGGAGGAGGAGGAGGAGGAGGAGGAGGAGGAGCGAGGAGTAGCGTGGAGGAGGAGGATGAGCGTGGAGGAGGAGGAGGAGGAGGAGGAGGAGGAGGAGGGGAGGAGAGGAGGAGGAGGAGGAGGAGGAGGAGGAGGGAGGAGGAGGAGCGAGGAGGAGCGTGGAGGAGGAGGATGAGCGGGAGGAAGGAGGAGGAGGAGGAGGAGGAGGAGAGAGGAGGAGGAGGAGGAAGGAGGAGGAAGAGGAGGAAGAGGAGGAAGGGAGGAGGAGGACGAGCGAAGCGAGAGGAGCGAGGAGCGAGGAGCGAGAGCGAGGAGCGAGGAGGAGGAGGCGGAGGAGGAGGAGGAGAGGAGGAGCGAGGGAGCGTGGGAGGAGGAGGAGGAGGAGGAGGAGGAGGAGGATGAGGAGGGGAGGAGGAGGAGGAGGAGCAGCGAGGAGCGAGGGGGAGGAGCAGCGAGGAGCGAGGGGGAGGAGGAGGAGGAGGAGGAGGAGGAGGAGGAGGAGGAGGAGGAGGAGGAGGAGGAGGAGGCTGCTCGGGCCTCGCGGCCCGCCTCCTTTGCTGCTGCCCTATAGAGGATGGGGGCTCCCGCATCCCAGGCGGGCTCTCGGGGCTCCTCGGCTTCCTCTGCGCCTTCACAGCCCCGGGCGCCAGCTGTGGGCCGACCTCTGCCTCGGCGTCGTCGT